GCCCGTTCCCTTCTACATGGCTTTACCTTGCTACTGATATGTGTATTACATTCACTTCAATCGTATTCACTTCTTAAAAAGATGTTTTTCCAGAAACCCCGCTTCATTTAACTTTAGTAAATTACGTTCGCCATTTGGCATTTACAAACAATCAGACCAATCAGAGCGAGTCTATCAGGCCTCCTGCAGCGCCACAGATGCAAGCGAGAACCAGGGGCTATTGTAAGACTCGCTCTGATTGGTCTGATTGTTTGTAAATGGTGAATGTGATAAATTTACTAAAGTGGAACGAAGCGGGGTTTCTGAAAAACAATCTTTTAAGAAGTGAATAACGATTGAAGTAAATGTATACACATATCAGTAGCAAGATAAAGCCATGTAGAAGGGGAACGGTAGTTTTTTTTCGCGCCAATAGCGGCGTACGGGCCGCATTAGCAGCGCATGTATTTTGCATGCACGAAATTTCAATGAACCCCGTTCTGTCCCAATAACCCTCACCAAATTATAAAAAAGGTTATATGGGCCAGAATTATTCGGTCTAACAGACATGATACACGGATTTTTCTTACGAGTCCTTACGGATCCTTACGATTTGGCCACTTTTACGAGCGATTTACGTGTTAATTTATTACGAGCTATTTACGGTTTGTTACGGATTATTACGAGTTATTACGATGTATTTATGGCAAAATTCCACGATTTGTTAAAGCCGCACCATGCGCATCTACACGCTAATTTCTCCAGTACTAGACTAGCAAATACTTCGTGTCATGCATAATTATAGTACCTTATGACAAAATAAACTCTAGTTCCTCCCATTTCACTGCGAGTTGTCTTATAAAAGGCATTTGAAAATAGCTCCAATGTTGTTCAAATTCTCCGATGTTGTTGACACTTTCACGTTGCCCTGCCAAGCAACCGTGGAGCGGTGCTGCGGTACAGCGGTACAGGTGTAGCAAAGATAAAAACGTGACGTCACCTAACCGTTTCTTGGCGAAATTGTTTGGCAAACAATTTAACGTTGGCACCAGATTACCAGATTTTGCACCTCTTTCTTGTGGGTTTTAAGCAAACGCGCAGTGAAATGGTAGGAACTAGAGTTTATTTTGCCATAAGGTAGTGTGCATGATTAATTATGCATGACACAAACTATTTGCTAGTCTAGTACTGGAGAAATTAGCGTTTGGATCCGCATAGTGCAGCTTGTCATGGATTTGTCACGGATAACTACGAGTACGAGCAACTTACGGGCATTTTACGAGCTTTTTACGGATATATTACGGAATGTTACGATTCATCGAAGATTTTACGTGTTAGTTACGACCTGTTTACGTGTTGTTACGAATAGGTACGAGTTAGTTACGAGTATATATATATTTACGAGTCCTTGCGATTTTTTGGCAAAAAATATATAAAAATCCTGCAAATCTCAATCTATCATCAACTTGTTGACTGCCTTCCTCTTTGGAGCCATGCTTGTTACTTGTAGATATTGTAGAGTAGATATGCAGAGATGTGACTTCTCTGACTTCTTGATAACAACTGAAAATGACGTGTTCGATTTTGCAGCCTTTCCCAAATCGTAAACAATACGTAAGAATACGTAAAGTATACGTATCTATTCGTAAAGTGCTCGTAATAACTCGTAACAATCCGTTACAATCGTACAATTATTACGAGTCATTTACGGATTATTGCGAGCAGTTTACGGATGGTTACGTGTTGTTGCGAGCGGTTTACGATACTTACGGATTGTTACGAGTTATTTACGGAAAAAATCAATCCGTGGACACTTGTGAGAAGATTTTTGACATATCAAAAAATTTGCCTATCCTTTCACAGATGATACCCTTACGAGTATCTGCGAGTTGTGACGAGTTATTTACGGATGCTTGCGATTGACTACGAGTTGGCGATCCGTAAAGACTCGTAAGAAAAATCCGTGTATGTGAAAGGGGTATTAAGGCCAAGACACACTGCAGCGACAGCGACCGACCGTAACAACAAACGACTTTTCAGAAAGTTAGAAACTATTGTTGTTGTTTTTGTCGTTTGATCATGTGATGATATGTACCACTGTGGCGATCGAGTGCTGGGTGAACTTTGACCTAACGTCGGTCGCTGCAGTGTGTTTGTGCCCAGTCGCCGCGACTTTTGTCACTTGTCGTTATGGTCGGTCGCTGTCCCTGCAGTGTGTCTTGGCCTTTAGGCACCTTACTCCTTAAGTATCACGAAGTGATGCACAGATTAGGGTTAGGGTTAAAGTTACGGAAAGTCTGTGCATCAGTTGATGATACGCAGAAATCTGTGCATCACTTCGTGATACCTTTAGGCTAAGGTGCCTAAACTGGATTTGCGCCCGATAAACTGTCATTATTATAATTACGATAGCTAATAACATGAAAATGTGAATGAAATGCTAGATGAAAAATAAGCATTTTTTTAATTATAATTTTTACTTGCAGCATAGACTGTTATCTAGCCATGCAGGCTTCAGCGTCTTCTAAATACATAAATTAAAATAAGTATTAGGTGGTAACTAGCTGACACGTGGAACTGGTGTCCCTACACCAACTAAACACCTTTACTATTTCGCTTTACTCACAGGCACTTGGAACGTCTCAATAAAAAAAAGGTAAATTAAAAACGAAATGTATTTACTACCAAAGTCTTAAAGTCGCACTATGCGCATCCAAACGCTAATTTCTCCAGTACTAGACTAGCAAATACTTCGTGTCATGCATATTCACACTACCTTATGACAAAAAAGACTCTAGTTCCTCCCATTTCACTGCGCGTTGTCTTATAAACGGCATTTGAAAATACCTCCAATGTTGTTCAAATTCTCCGATGGTGTTGACACTTTCACGTTGCCCTGCCAAGCAACCGCACAGCGGTGCTGCGGTACAGCGGTACGGGTGTAGCAAAGATAAAAACGTGACGTCACCTAACCGATTCTTGGCAAAATTGTTTGGCAAACAATTTAGCGTTGGCGCCAGATTACCAGATTTTGCACCTCTTTCTTGTGGGTTTTAAGCAAACGTGCAGTGAAATGGCAGGAACTAGAGTTTATTTTGCCATAAGGTAGTGTGATTATGCATGACACGAAGTATTTGCTAGTCTAGTATTAGAGAAATTAGCGTTTGGATGCACATTGTGCGGCTTTAATGTTTCTCTACTCTATTTCGCCTATTATTGCCGATAATTACCCGTAAATGCCGGTCAAATGCTCATCTGCAACACACAAGTACACCGCATGCCCGCCCTGTGCACAAACAACATGAATAAGAGAGTTATTATCTTTATTTGTGAATAAAAACATAACTCTCTTATTCATGTTGTTTGTGCACAGGACGGGCGTGTGGTGTACTTGTGTGTTGCAGATGAGCATTTGACCGGCATTTACGGGTAATTATTGGCAATAATAGGCGAAATAGAGTAGAGAAACATTAATACTGGTAGTAAATACATTTCGTGTTGATTGAGACGTTCCAAGTGCCTGTGGCTTTACCCATCCACTGTACTGTCCTGTCTCACTTAATGTTAGATCTAAGCACTTACACTAAATGAATAATATCTCAGAATTAGATTCTATATGGATACACCACTTCTCGTTATTTCTTTAACCAAGTTGTTTTCTACACTTTCTCCTATTCCACTATTCCGTTCAAAATAGTTCAGGACTGCACTGGTTAATTTGTGTCTTACCACCATTACGCTTCAGCGCAGGTTTAGCTACTGAGTTGCGCGTTGCACTTGGCAAAGCTGGTGGAGCATTGGAAAGCGGTGGTCCCCAGGCATATTTAAGTGGATGTGTTCATGCTTTGGCAATCTTCCAGGCTTAATCACTTTATTTGTCCCCTTTCTGATTTGCTTCCTGGCCTTGGACTTCAGCTTTTGTGCTATTAGGAAAATAACCTTTGTCATTGATCTGTTGGAGACTTCATAATAAAAAATGTGAATACGTGGAGAGAGAACAAAGCTGATTTCGATTTGTCATGAACTATATTAACATCGCAATCAACTCTACATGCCATCATGAACATCGGTGTGCATTTCAGGTAGGTGAACTGCACTGGACCCTCGCGCAACAAAAAGACGTGCAACGTGTGCCTACAGTTGGGAGAAGAATGTCAGACCTACATGCTGCCTGTTCACGTGGGGACGTTGAGAAAGTGTTAGAACTTCTGCGAGGTGGAGCGAAAACATCGTGCGTGAATGTACGCATGGAGACACCTTTCCACGTCGCCTGCGCACTTTCGCTGGACAGGACGGAAGAGAAGATGGAGATTGTGAAACAGCTGCTGCTGCATGACGCGCCCCTTCAAGAGGAGGATGAATGCGGGCGAACGCCTCTCATGCTCGCCTGCGAAACAGCCAGCGCGGATGTTGCAGCCAATGGAGCGGACCTCCACACGCGTTACCGTGGCGACGGAACGATGCTGCATGCAGCCGTGGCCGGCGGGAACGCGCGGGTCCTGTCGCCGGCTTGCTCTGGTCAGCTGGACATCATGCGCCTGCTACTGGAGGCCGGCGCCGACCCCAATGTCGCCATGACGAAGAGCGGGGAGACGCCGCTGATGAAGGCTGTGAGGGAGGGCGGGGAGGCGGTGGATGAGTTCTTATTAGGCCGCGAGCCCAACGAATGGGACTCCGGACAGTCCACCCTGTACCACGCGGCTTGCTCTGGCCAGCTGGACATTGTGTGCCTGCTACTGGAGGCCGGCGCGGATCCAAACGCCGCGGACTCGTACGGACAGACCTCCCTGCACATGGCGGCTCGCTGTGGCTTGCTGGACATCATGCGCGTGCTACTGGAGGCCGGCGCCGAGCCCAACGTCGCCATAACGAGCGACGGAGCGACGCCGCTGATGAGGGCGGTGAGGGGGGGCGAGGAGACGATGGTGCGGATGCTGCTATCACACGGCGCCGACGCCAACGCTACGGACTCGTACGGACAGACCTCCCTGCACTACGCGGCTTACTCTGGCCTGCTGGAGGTCGTGCGCCTGCTACTGGAGGCCGGCACGGATCCAAACGCCGCGGACTCGCGCGGACAGACCTCCCTATACAACGCGGCTAACTCTGGCCGGCTGGACATCGTGCGCCTGCTACTGGAGGCCGGCGCAGACCCCAACGTCGCTGTGACGAAGATCGGCGAGACGCCGCTGATGATGGCGATAAGTTGGGGCAAGGAGGCGGTGGCGCGGATGCTGCTCTCACACGGCGCCAACGACAACGCTGCATACTCGAACGGAGAGACCTCTTTGCTCATCGCGGCTCGCTCTGGCTGGCTGGACATCGTGCGCATGCTACTGGAGGCCGGCTCAGACCCCAACGTCGCCAACAAGAACACCGGGGTGACGCCGCTGATGACGGCGGTGAGTAAGGGCAATGAGGCGATGGTGTAAATGCTGCTCTCACACGGCGCCGACGCCAAAACCGCGGACTCGTACGGAAGGAACTCCCTGTACCACGCGGCTCGCTTTGGCGGGCTGAACGTTATGCGCATGCTACTGGAGGCCGGCGCAGACCCCAAAGATGCCGAGACGAAGATCGGAGAGACGCCGCTGATGATGGCGGCATGCCGGGGCGAGGAGGCGATGGCGCGGATGCTGCTCTCACACGGCGCCAACGACAACACTGCATACTCGACCGGAGAGACCTCCCTGCTCATCGCGGCTCGCTCTGGCTGGCTGGACATCATGCGCCTGCTACTGGAAGCCGGCGCCGACCCCAACGTCGCCAACAAGAAGACCGGGAAGACGCCGCTGATGACGGCGGTGAGGCGGGGTGAGGAGGCGGCGGTGGGGATGCTGCTCTCACACGGCGCTGACGTCAACGCCGCATACTCGCAAGGAGAGACCTACCTGCACATCGCGGCTCGCTTTGGCGGGCTGAACGTTATGCGCATGCTACTGGAGGCCGGCGTAGACCCCAACGTCGCCGAGACGAAAGAAATGGGGTGTTTTACCGCGTTACACTACTCCTGTACTCAACGACTTCGAACCGAGGTAAAACTACGGGCGTACGTTGCGAATGATTGAGACCGAATTTTAGCAATGTCCTAATGTATTTTCTTATAGATGGTAAAGGTAATCAGTATTAGTGCATCACATAATAGATCGTTGAAATTCTATTGGATAACGTCGCAGGTACTATGAAACAATAGTGCCCGCCTGAGCGGGCACTATTGCTTGCGCGACGCGTTGTTATTATCGCATTGTGTTTTAATACAAATTGAAATTGTTCGTTTAAGAAACTTTGTCTTATTCACTTCATATTTGCCGAGTAGATTTCAATGTCATGTGATGCACTAAAAACATTAATGCCTGTTGTTGGGGGCACTATGCTGTCATAGAGTTGCTTTGGGAAGGAATAGTGCCCTCGCTGCGGCTCGGGCACTATACCTTCCCTCAGCAACACTATGAGAGCATAATGCCCCCAACAACAGGCATTAATATATAAATAGTAATCGGTTAACAGTTAATAATAGATATGTTAAATAGTTTTACCGCATTACACTACTCCTGCAATCTACTCGTGACGAAGGAAAAATGCGGGCGTACGTTGTGAACGACGGAGACAATTTTAGCGATGTTCCAATGTATTTTTATCTAGATAATAAAGGTAATCAGTAATAGTAATCGGTTATTAGTTAATAATTTAATAATAGTAATAGTTAGTAATCGGCAACAGTAATAAAGGTAGTAATCTCGGAGAAACTTGTTTTTTAAGGAACACACCTAAAATCGGGTTGTTAACGATTCTCGTTTCTTTCGTTCACACAGATGATTACTCTTCTCTTGAATCATGGAGCTGACCCGAACCTCGTCGATTGTAACAAGAGAACGCCGCTCGCTATAATAGGCAGCGAGGTAGAGAAGGAATATTGGCGTGCGATGAGTGAGCAACACGCACATGTAGCGGCGTCAGCTCTCCTACAGACGTGCGAGTCCGCCGGCATACTTCTACAGGTTAACACACGCGACAGCGAGGGCGACACCCCGCTGCACAGCTTCTGTAGGGTGATGCTCGCAGATGTTTACGTGGAAGTGAGGGAGGGGTGCATGCGGATAGTGCATGCGCTGCTGTTCAACCACGGCGCACACGTCGACGTGGTGAACGCACGGGGAGAGACGCCGTACGAACTCTGGTGCCAGATTTACCCGACGTTTTTCCGCGGCATCGTGGAGTCGAGCGACGAGATACATGGCAGAATGAGCGCGCAGTATCATTCGCTGAAGTGCCACTGCGCGCGTGTTATCGTCAGACACAGCGTTGCATACGAGAACAGGCTGCCTCCGAGTCTCATAGAATTTGTCAGGGCACACGCTAGACCAACGTAGGCGACACTAAGCATGTTAACCGAGGAAGCCCATGTAGGATCGGAGATGCGATAACCCAGAAGATATCATCAATACTTGGTAGATCTATGTTCTAATTGTTGCACGTGTTGGCAGACGTGTTTCATTGCAATGTAAAATCGAGTATATGTAGTAACTTATAATGAAAACCCATGATGAGGGCGGTGGAGGAGGACGAGCAGATGATGGAGCGGATACTGCTCTCACACGGCGTCGACGCCAACACCGCAGACTCGCAAGGAGAGACCTCCCTGTACCACGCGGCTTGCTCTGGCCAGCTGGACATCATGCGCCTGCTACTGGAGGCCGGCGCCGACCCCAACGTTGCGGACTCGTACGGATGGACCACCCTGTACCGCGCATCTTGCTTTGGCCGGCTGGACATTGTGCGCCTGCTACTGGAGGCCGGTGCAGATCCAAACGTCGCCAAGACGCCGCTGATGATGGCGGTGAGGGAGGGCGAGGAGGCGGTGGTGCGGATGCTGCTCTCACACGGCGCCGACGCCAACGCCGCGGACTCGCAAGGAAGGACCTCCCTGTACTACGCGGCTTTGTCTGGCTGGCTGGACATCGTGCGCCTGCTACTGGAGGCCGGTGCAGATCCAAACGTCGCCGATACGGAGAGCGGGAAGACGCCGCTGATGATGGCGGCGTGGGAGGGCAAGGAGGCGGTGGTGCAGATGCTGCTCTCACACGGCGCCGACGCCAATGCCGCGAACTCGTACGGACAGACCTCTTTGTACCATGCGGCTCGCTTTGGCCGGCTGGACATCGTGCGCCTGCTACTGGAGGCCTTCGCCGACCCCAACGTCGCCAAGACGAACAGTAGAGCGATGCCGCTGATGATGGCAGTGAATAAGGGCGATGAGGCGTTGGTGCGGATGCTGCTCTCACACGGCGCCGACGCCAACGCCGCGGACTCGTACGGACAGACCTCCCTGTACGATGCGGCTCGCTTTGGCCGGCTGGACATCGTGCCCCTGCTACTGGAGGCCGGCGCCTTCCCCAACGTCGCCCAGAATATGAGCGGAGAGACTCCGCTGATGATGGCGGTGAATAAGGGCGAGGAGGCGGTGGTGCAGATGCTGCTCTCACACGGCGCCGACGCCAACGCCGCGGACTCGCAAGCACAGACCTCCCTGTACCATGCGGCTCGCTTTGGCCGTCTGGACATCGTGCGCCTGCTACTGGAGGCTGGCTCCGACCCCAACGTCGCTCAAAATATGAGCGAAAAGACGCCGCTGATGATGGCGGTGAATAAGGGTAAGGAGGCGGTGGTGCGGATGCTGCTCTCACACGGCGCCGACGCCAACGCCGCGAACTCGTACGGAGTGACCTCCCTGCACGTCGCGGTCGTCTCTGGCCGGCTGGACATCATGTGCATGCTACTGGAGGCCGGTGCCGACCCAAACGTCACCGATACGGAAGAAAGGGGGAGTTTCACCGCGTTGCACGACTCCTGTGATCAACTTCATACCGAGGTAAAACTACGGGCGTACGTTGTGAATGATTGAGCCCGAATTTCAGCAATGCCCTAATGTATTTTCTTATAGATGGTAAAGGTAATCAGTAATAGTAATCGGTTAACAGTTAATAATAGATATGTTAAATAGTTTCACCGCATTACACTACTCCTGCAATCTACTCGGGACCGAGGAAAAATGCGGGCGTACGTTGTGAACGACGGAGACAATTTCAGCTCATTACACTACTCCTGCAATCTACTCGGGACCGAGGAAAAATGCGGGCGTACGTTGTGAACGACGGAGACAATTTGAGCAATGTCCTAATGTATTATCTTATAGATGGTAAAGGTAATCAGTAATGGTAATCGGTTAACAGTTAATAAAAGATATATTAAATAGTTTCACCGCATTACACTACTCCTGCAATCTACTCGGGACTGATGAAAAATGCGGGCGTACGTTGTGAACGACGGAGACAATTTTAGCGATGTTCCAATGTATTTTTGTCTAGATAATGAAGGTAATCAGTAATAGTAATCGGTTAATAGTTAATAATTAAATAATAGTAATAGTTAGTAATCGACAACAGTAATAAATGTAGTATGCTCGAAGAAACTTGTTCTTTAAGGAACGAACGTAAAATCGGGTTGTTAACGATTTTCGATTCTTTCGTTCACACAGATGATTACTCACCTCTTGAAACACGGAGCTAACCCGAACATCGTTGATTGTAACAAGAGGACGCCGCTCGCTTTACTAGGCAGCCAGGCAGAGGTGAGAAGCCTTAGAATGAGTGAGCGAGGAGCACACGCAGCACCAGCAGAACAAGCGGAGTCAGTGGTACAAGCGGCGTCAGCTCTCCTTCAGACGTGCGAGTCCGCCGGCGTACTTCTACAGGTTAACACACGCGACAGCGAGGGCAACACCCCGCTGCACAGCTTCTGTAGGGCAATGTTTGCAGGCAGAGAGGGAGGGGAGGGGTACGTGCAGATAGTGCACGCGCTGCTGTTCAACCACGGTGCACACGTCGACGTGGTGAACGCACGGGGAGAGACACCGTACGAACTCTGGCGCCGGATTAACCCGACGCATTTCCGCGGCAACGTGGAGTCGAGCGACGAGATACATGGCAGAATGAGCGCGCAGTATTATTCGCTGAAGTGCCACTGCAAACGCGTTATCGTCAGACACAGCGTTGCATACGAGAACAGGCTACAGCTGCCTCCGAGTCTCATAGAATTTGTCAGGGCACACGCTAGACTAACATAGGCGACACTAAGCGTGTTAACCGAGGAAGCCCATGTAGGATCGGAGATGCGATAACTCAGAGGATATTATCAATACTTGGTAGATCTATGTTCTAATTGTTGCACGTGTTGGCAGACATTTCATTGCACTGTAAAATCGAGTATATGTAGTAACACTATTCAGTTTATATAGAAATGTGTAGATTATCGGTATGATGCCTTGGTGAATTGGCGCGATTTAATAACCACGAGTACAACTGTTAAAAGTTTGCAAATCATTTTTCTCTGTAAAAAAAACTCTAAAGGCTTAGTTGGGTTCTGAATATTAAAAAAATAAATAAATAAAACAACTATTTTACCATGAAATGTATGCAAATTCGGAAAGTACTTATTACCACCAGAATCACATATTTGATGTGCTCCTGCTACCACACAGCACCAAAAAATATAATCATTAATAACCCACTGTTCAGACGATCCACTTGTCATAATTTGTACCCATTAATAGGGTATATATATATCTATACTATAGACTGTATATGCAGTCCAACCATAGACTGAAGGGACACTACGCCCTAGACTTATAGGGAATAAGCCTGTTATGTTTGATGCTCACACATGTGCATAGTCAACGCAGATATGTTTTTTTTTAAATAACTGGAATGCTTCCACACCATGCGTGCATACCACGCGACACACACGTTGTTCTCGACGCGACATCTGGCGGTCATATATCATAACATCTCCCCTCTTTAATGGAAATAAACATTTCCTGCGTGAGTGCTTCATAGGTATGCACTAGAAGTGTATATGCAACTCAAAATCAAACAACAAAGCCAAGCGAATATTCACCTACGTACTCATTGCCTGCTTGATCTTTGCCCTTACCTTGTATCTGCACTGAGGTGACCATGACAGAGGAGCGGCGGTTAGCGAGTGACGTACGCGCTTGACGTGCTTGTGTGGCACATTGCGCTTGGGTGAGGGGTAGTGTAGCATCTTCTGCGGCGTGTTCAACAGCGCGAACGCTCGCAGCACAAACGCAGCGCCACTTGAACGACACCGAGCTATGCACCAAGCGCTCGCTTTATCCAGGATGGCGGCTTCCTCATCAGATTTAATCGCGAGATTTTAATGTCTTCGAACAAATACTGTTAAACAAATTAGCAAACGAAATTGATATGAATTGAATTCAGAAGTGAATGAATGATTGAAAAATGAAATGAAGTTGAAACAGAGTGAAATTGAAGTCAGAAATGTTAGATTCGCATTCACCAGATTGCCCGTCGCCATCTTGAAAACAACCTGCGTGCTGCGCGAACAGCCTCGGGAGCCTGATCGCGCGCGCTCGACCACGCGGTGTCGTTCAGAAGGCAAGCGCACGCGAGGGTTCGCGCTGTTGAACACGC